AGAAGGAGGAAGCAAGAAAGAAAATCTCATTTCTCCTGCTGATTGTAACATCGAACCTGGAAGGCACTGAAATATTATGCGGATGAGAGCAATGTAAGAACTAGAACAGCATAAAATAGAATTACACTAGCCTAATTCCTAGAGGAGTGAATCCTTGAGGCAAGGTCAGGCAAGGTCATTGTTGACTGAGAGGAAAAAAAAATTTACATTTTTCTTAAATCCCTACTTGCACCTTGTCACTGCTATTCAAAGCTCTAAATCTCAGACATTTCTTCTACCTAACATCACGAGTCTACTGAGAAAAGAAACAGAACTGTTTGTCTGATGGAGAGTTCTAATTTTAGAACCACAACTCAAATTTTAAACATCTACTTAAATGTGTTGTTCTTTATCAATAAACAGACCAAAAGAGAAAAGAAAAATTCACTGAAATCTAACTAAACATGATTAATGAGCAGACATTTGATATAAATGTAGTCTACTATTAGACACTTTATGAGCAAGAAAATAAAAATCTAAATTCCAAAGAATAATTTTCCTGCTCCAACAGTTATTCCATACTGTCTTTAACATATTATGGTTAATAGAATTAAAAAACATGTTCTTAATTTCAAATCTTATTGGTTACGTTGCTTAGGTGTAATTCTTTCCCTTCATCTTTTTTTTTTCCCCACCCTTCCTCTTTGATAATTTTATACACTACATAGCTTATGCTTGTTTGCTGCTCTGCATGTCTTCTGTTTTCAATCTGCACGTGATATCCCTGCTTTCAGAGTCTGATCCTGGTTTCTGTTTTCGAGGAAAGAAGTGAGGGCCCAACTACAATAATTCTAAGAAATGGGAAGATATAACTCTGTCCTTGTTTGAAATAATGAAGTTGGAATATCCAGAATTTTGGATTGTTTTTAAAATTTAACAGATCTGTAAAATTCATTATAATTAAGATAAGTAAATATCTGATATTTTCATGAACACATAGTCTTTGTGTAAAATTCTTTTTAGCAATATCAGTAGGTCTAACAAATCAAAACCCAACTTTACTTAAGTCAAATTTGATTTCAGAAAGTATCAAGACAATAGTAATAGATACAACAATATTGGACATGGAGTATGTAAACAGATGCATATGCTGGCATTTATTGTATCAGTAACTTCCAAAAAAATCTTAGAACATTATATATTGTTTATCTGGACAGTAACTAAGCCACAAATTACCAGAGGGGAAGATGTCAGTTAGATTAAATAATAAAAGGGAGAAAATGTAAATGCCTAGATGATCTGCAGGTACTCGAATGTTTAGCAGAGGACTTCAGTTCTGAACACAGTTTAATCTGTTTCCAAATCCTTCCTGCCATCTAGCAAATATTAGCATATTATTATATTTGGTCTCAGGTGCTGACATGATGATTGGTGTACGCAACCACACCCTGTAAACCAAGGCAACTATTGAGGTATGGTCATGAGTAGAGAACTTCAAAATAAAAGGGTCTGTGTACGCAAACTTCTAGACAGTGCTTGATGTTCAATTAAAAATACTTAAGTGGTTCATATCATTCATCTATCAGAATCATTGTTACGTACTTTGTTATTTTGGCTACAGTACTACTAGAGATATAGTGTGGTATCATTTCAGTTTTTAATACTGATTTATAAGGGTTTCTCCTTTTGTTTTTATTACATAATAATGAAAAAGTAAGGTGAAGAAAGAAAAATACCCTCATCTCCATATAACTGATGTGCTTTAATGCTTTTAGCGTGTTTGCTGTCCTGAGAGGGAGTTAGCTTGCTCTGAAAAAATGTGCTCTGAGTAATAAATAATAAAAAGTTAATCCTTCTTCCTACCCCCACCCCTGGCACCCCAGCCTAGATAAACTGTGTTTCAGGAGAAAACTAGTTTGTTTTAGCAAAAGTTTGGTCCAGCACATCTTTGTTGTCTGGTGAGAATTTACTGTTAAAGGAGATTATGATTATAAGAGATCCTTAAGAATCAGCTGGAAAATTCAACTGCGAACTGTTTTATTGTTTTGTTAATTTCAAATTACATTTATCTTCTGGACATTAGATTGATGTTTCATCATTATTAAACCTGCTACTATGAGCTACGTAGCCATTAAGAACTGCCAGACAAAACTCAAGAAAGTCACATTCACTGAATAATTTGAATAAATTAATACAATGTGAAATTATTCTAACTCGGTAACTTTTTGATTTACATCCCATCAGATGTAATTCATCCTACTGCAGAGAAGTTTAAAGAACACATCAGTACAGCATGGTATACCATAATGAACAAGTCATTG